TAATAATTTGGTAAATGATGTGATGCAGTTAATTAATTAATTTCGTGACAAACATGTTATAATAGTAGTAGAATATAATAGGATAACTTATTCTCTCCTCCTCCAACAACGCCACAACTCAATAATAATAATAATGATAGCAGTAGCAGTAATGATGATGACGATGATAATTCCAGTATTAATAATGGTCATGGTATGTTGCGAATGGATAGCGGTTCTTCTACCGGATCATCGATCAACAGAACTCCTCCTGTTTTTCTACAACAACCTCCGCCACAACCATTTCCATTATTGTTATCATCAAAACACAAAGATTTTCATCATCATGATAATTTCAACTTTGACTACAATTCTTTTGGCGACAATTATAATGATGCAATTCCTTTATTTAATATCCTCGACAACGAAGAAGATTGCTATTCCAGCAATGATGATCATTACAGCGATATCAACAATAATCGTGATGGCAACAATACTATTATCGCTGTCAACGACAACAATAACAAAATCAACGATAATAATGGTGACATCATCACTTTTACCATCAATCAAAATGACTACGATCGTAACAATTATGATGAATTCAACCTACAAAAATCAACAACTGCAACTACAACACCTCAACATTCACCATTACAACAACAACAAAATTATGACTATAATAATTACACTGATATTATTGATAATAATTCTACCGCTATTTCGCAATTGTCATCATTACAGCAGCCTTCGCCACTTTCTTGGGTTCAAACATTCCCACCTAATGGTTCGTTCAATAATTTTATACCACAACCATCGCAATCATTGGCTCCACCATCAACGTTCGCACTCGTAACATTTCCACCACCCGAACATTTAATCATGGATGGTCGAATTCTCCTTGGGGATTTCTATGGAATGAATAACGCTTCAACTCCTAATCCCCCCATCGCTACAAATTATGCTCATGATAATAATAATAATAATAATAATAGTGGTAATAATAATAATGATCAATCGCCACCACATTTACAAATATTTACACCCATTGCAGTTCATTCACCCACGTCACAAATTCTTACTTCTGCTTCTAATACTACACAACAACAGGAGGCGATAACAGCCTTAAACGAAAGACAAAAAGAAAATCAAAAGGTTATTTCAATTAGTGACAATAGGAATAATAACAACAAAGTTATTAAAGGCGTTGACGTTGAAGATTACATTGATCTTGATATTATTGATACTCTGGCAGAAAATAATAGCAGCAAAAGCAACAACGATCGTAATAGCAACAAAAGAAAAAGAAAATCAAAGTCTAATTCACAACCTATCACTACAAGGTTAATCAAAAAAACCAAAATTTTTGGCAATGGTAATCATTCTAATGACAGTAATTGTAACAGTAATAATGATGATTGTGACACTAATGTTAATGATATTATTGTTGTTGACGATGAAACAAAATCTGTTATTGATGATGATACCATCACCACACCAACAACTCCGATTAATGATGATACTACCGCTGATGACTCCATTATTGAAACAATATCACTAAAAAGAAAGTTTTTAGATGAAGAGGAATCGCAAGAGGAAAAAAGAAGACGGTTCTTGGAAAGAAATCGAGTAGCGGGTAATCATCAATTTATTGATCACACACACATATTAATTAATCATAATAATATATTAATAATATATTATATTTATATTTCATAATTAATTATAGCTTCAAAATGTCGCCAAAAGAAAAAAGTTTGGGTCCAAGATTTGAATGACCGAGTCATCACAGCCGAGAAAATTAATGCTCAGTTGACCAGTTCGGTTAGAGCACTTAAAGATGAGTTAATGTCTTTACAAGATCAAGTCATGGCTCATATAAATTGTACAAATTGCAATCTTGTTCAAAATTATTTAGATCATTGTGCTCGGTTCAGACCTCTTCAACAAACATCGCTATCACAATTCACATTATACGGAAATACAAGGCAAGGTAATAAACCTGATTTTCACAATTCAATGAAATCAGAAACTTCAAAAACATTTTATGCAAATTTCATTAATAGGTTGAAACAAGAATATATCGAGGATAAAGTTAAAGGTATGATAACAACAACAACAACAACAACGACAACAATTTAATTAATAATTTTTAAATATATATATTTTTTAAGATGGGATCTTTGGAGCAATGATGAATGTTCATCTTGTAAATGAGGTGTGTTTGTTTGTTTTTGCCAAATGTAATTATTTTAAATTACTTTATTGATTGTTTAAAAATAATGTCTTTGATATAGGGACCAGTAACACTGGAATTAGATTCCAGGAAATTTATTTATGTAGATAAAGTAGAAAAAACCCCTAACAAAAACAAAAGCAACAAAAGCAGAAACAACAACAAAAACGACAACAAAAACGACAACAAAAACAATGACAAAGAAAGCGTAGTAGAATGAAGATTGACAAATATTGCCTGTTATTTATCCATTCATAGATTTCTTTGTTGATTATAATCTTTATTTGAAGATAAAAATAAATTATAGTAGAACAATCCTCTCCCCCAACAAAATCCATAATAATGATCAGTTTGCATACAACACAAAAATATTATTCTTTGTCGTACATGCATTAAAAATTTTTTTTTCTTCTTCGCAAATCACATTAATGTCGACCAGGGACTTTAAGTGATCTAAATCTTTCATATACACACATACACATACATACATACACATACACATACACATACATGCATAACAAATTCCATGAATGCTTATTTGTTCACTGCTTGCTTGAACCACACGACGCGTAATAACATAAATCAAAAAAATTAAACACACATTCCAAAAATAACAATAATCGTCATAAAAATCTTAGATTACACTGTCAACCGTCTTCATTCATCTTTTCTTTAACAAACAATTGGTCACCTTTTCCAATTGTAATTTCGATTGCTCCTGTTGTTTTCATTGCAATGCATCAGGTTTTTGCGCATTATTAATAATAAGATTAAGGCAATTATGACAAATTAAATTGAGCCAATTACAATCTTGAATACCCGCATACATACTTTCATATGCGTAACACCAAAAAAATTGATAAATAAGGATGATCTGCGTATTAATTATTTGAACCAAAAAATTAAATTATTTAATTAGAACTATTTTTAAACTTCAAACTTTAAAGTCCAACTTAATATCATAATAATAAAAAAAGATATCACAACATTGAGATAATTATTAAAATCAGATGGAAGTGACTCGGGATGAAGAAAGGAACCTAAACCACAAAATAATGAAGGTCTAAAAGAAGAAAGAAAA